CTAGCTAGATTCCACCCTGGCGTCTTTTGAAGGCGACCTGAATGTAGAGAGGCACGGGATGTGCATCTGATCATGTGTCGCTCATTCTTTGCAATATTTTTTTGGCGGGATTTGGCCGATGCTTGCTCAACGTTTTAGAAACAGAAGAGGCTGTTAAGACATTAAGGTATGCATATGATTTCCTAGTGCTAGTACCGCAGCCCACAGTGTTAGATGACAAAGTCATGGAAAGGGTGCTAGAAATTCTCATCAAATTCGCACGGCCTTACTTTCACTCACGAAACAATGATGCCAGGGAAACTAAAATTTCTGCATTTAAGATTAGATTTTCAAGAAGAGCATGTGCTGGAAGTATACACGTTTGCAAGTCCGGCTTCAGGGTGCTGCCATCTTGCACGGCTGGGGTGTGCTTGGATGCGTCATAATCTGATTACGAAGCCTTGCTAAGGCGTCGTAATCGGATAATGGCCACGCCCAAGAGCGCACCCCACTGAGCAAGATGGCGGCCGCCTGAGACAGGACTTGCAATCGTGTATAGACCACGTTCAAAAAAAGGTGTGTTGCCCTTCAATTCAGCCCATTGTAAGTGGGTCAAGACAGGGATTGCGTCCTTTCTAATGAACGCATCCCTTGCAAAATTGTGCCAACACACCATGAACAATAGCTTTTTAAGCCAGGTTTTGACGCCCGAGACCGTCGGGCTACCCCAATCGTTTTCTTCAGGAGGTAGCCGAAATGGCTGTTTCCGAGATTAAGAAGGAAAAGAATGACGAGGGGACGCCTACGTCCAGGGAGAAAGTGAGACCTGTCGTCATACTTAAAGGGGCGATGCAACAATTTTTGTACTTTGCACAAATACCGCTTAGAAAAGATCCCCGACGTTAATGACCTATGAAACACGCGTTTGTTCGTCACTTCACGCAATAGGAGTCCCAGAAAAAATTAAAGTAAAACGAGCAGCATTCACTCCCTCAACTCGCAGCCAGAACAAGCGGCCACGCGATCTGGAACCGATTATATGCCGCCAATGTTGATCATAGCCACGCGCTGGGGTTGGCAAAGCACAGGACACGCGCTGAGTTCCAGACATTGTTATGGCTCGGCTGTTGTCGTCGTTGCACCGATTGGACGCAGGCGACTACCCGAATGCTTCTCGAGCTAGCAATTATCACGAGCCCAAATCGAGTGCCCACGCAGGGCTCGGGTCCAATCTATGAACCGCATTCAAATATCGTCACTTCGGTGTTCTGTGATCCCCACGTTCATCATCAAATTTTGCAAAGGAAAGACTGAACGAAAATAATTGCTTTTGTCCTTGAAATTTCACCGCAACAAAGGAGTTTCTTGGCCAGTGGCATTGCCCGCGAGTACCCTTGAGTCCCACTAGTGCCAGTAAGCTCGTCTATAGTGAAAAACATTCCAACTGAATATCGTTGCACAGCTCCTTTAACATACATACAAGGTTTCAAACAACCTACAAAGGGTGGCATCGCACTTTGATGTGCCGGTAGTGTTTTCGGCCCCAGGAAAGCTGTCTGGTCTCTTCTACAAAAACAAAAAATATGCCGGTGACATGTGCAAAAAGAATCACTCGAAACAGTTCCTGCATTGTGCCTCCTTGGTCCTGTATGAAATTCCCATGACCTGTGGTGAGGTGTACGTAGGTCGAAAGGGCAGGTGCCTCAATGACAGGGCACGAGAGCATGCGCTGTCGGTTAGATTCCCCCTCGGGCAATTTGGCTATTCATTGTGATAGATGCCCTTGTGCCCCTGAACTGGAAAAAAAAAAAAAAAAATTCTGGGGAAGTTAACAAACAAGAACTAGAGAGAATTGTACGAGTCATTCAACATCAGAATGCAAGGGGTGACAGATGCACAAGAGCAAGGACTGTTCATGTAACAGATAAAGATTTGCATTCCTGCTTGAGAAGCCGAATTGGGTGTATAAATAGTTAGTGTTGTTTCAAGAAACGGTCAGTTGAAAGTAGAGCTAGTGCTGTCTCCCTTTACGTCCTTGTCTTGTTGCGCTTCTGTCAAAAGAAACAATATACCAACTAGCCGATCTCTCACTATTATTGAGGCATTGCTATTTGTTGGGTGAACTAAACGTTACATTTTCAGTTCGTTTCGCATTGCTGGCCTTTTATACACTAAAATGAGACCGAATGAAAGAAAGGTGACAACTTTTATCCTTCAATATTCCCTTTTGATGCTTCTAAACCTAAACAGCTTGCAAGCACTGTACATGCTCCCGCTAGATCATTAATAAAAAAAAAAACCTGCACACTGACCCTTTCTTTATGCCATTTCTTTGCCAACAAAACCGGACCACTGGGGAATATCTTTTGGGGGAAAAAGCTCGACAGTCAAAAAGCTAAGGGGGACGCTGGTGGTAGCACTCTGTTGTCGAAATTGTATCTCACTACGTGAGGCATCAATCGTTCAAAGCTTGAACCCAGGTGGCTTCTTATTAGTTTGCCAAGATGTAGCCAAGTCCACAGACAACTCTAGATGAAATTGTGGCAGCATCGCTGGTGCATGTAATGCTTTTCAGCTGGATTTGGATCAGGAGTCTGTGCACGAGACAACAAATGTTGAACGAAGCGCAAGAAAGAAACGCACGGTAGCAGATTACAAGCCAACAGGAGCAAGTAAAATCAACAGATCAGAACAAAAAAAAAAAATTGTGCAGGGCACTTGTCCTCAATGGGACAATACACATGAAAGCAAACTGCAAACCAACTATGCAACAGAAGTGAAAACCAACGGGCCACAGCAACAAAAGGCCACAGCAACAAAAGCTGGACAAGAAATTCTGAAATCTGTGCAGAGTAGTTCCCCAATGTTCGGGTGAGATACCACTTTGTGCACGAGGCATGGCATTCAAATCATACCAACAGCCCTCTTGAGCAGAGCACTTGTTCATTTAGCTTATGTGATCCTCCCGGTACAAAACTGTCTTTACTCTCTACACAGGCAATCAATGTTATCAAATCATGTCACAAAAGTTAAAGGCACAACAAGCGTGACATTGCCGGAATTTTGTTGCGTGCGTAAAAATGCGTCCGCACTAAAGGTGCTGTCCAAATCAAACGTGTAAGAAACAAAAACGAGGGCACTGGGTCAGATATGGTCAAGAAAATCACGACCTGTGCAGTACTCGAAAGATTTGCATCTCATGTTAGTATGTAGAACAAAGACTTACAGTGTTCCTGACAAACCGAAACAGTTACACCACAAGACCAGAGCAGAGGAACCCGACGGCCGAGACAGTGGAAGTCACTCGGTCTTTTCTATTCCCAAAACCTATCGATTCAACATTTCTTGAAATAAGCTTGTTTCCGGTGTTTCGGTAGTCCTAGAAATTTACATGGCCTATTTTCGTTCTGAAAATGTGCCAGAGTTTATTGCTTGGCAACAATTCCGAGCTCCATTTCATCACTCATGACTAAACAAACCCTAGCCACCTGGTTCTTAAACGGCAGACTTTCTTGTTAAAAAAATCCAAATGCTGACTGAAACTTTTTTAATTGAGGGCTTTTGATGGCCATACGCGTGGCTATAACAAACATTGCTGGTATATAATCAGGACTGGATCACATGGTGCTCGTTCTGTGTCAAATCAACATTCCTGAACATTACGGCCGCCCCTTGGCAAGCCAGACATGTGCTGCTATTGAAGGCATGTTGAGAAGAGTTCCACAGGACTCATACCCCACCAATAGACATTTTGTCACACACGGACATTTGAGAGTTCCAGCAAACCTTTTTCCGGCCTACTTTTATAACTTCAATTTGGTTGTCAGGTGCTTTGAACCCAATAGAGCCTTGAAGAAACAAGTTTGTCTCTATGGAGCAGCCCTTAGAAGTTTTCACCGAAGTACAAATGAATAGTTATTTCTAATCATGTCAAAACTTCACAGCCCTTGGGGCTGCCAGAATAAGTCATGAAAATAGGCTGGGAAATTGTCTTGCTGGAGTTGCCCGTAAGAAACAACAAAAATGTCAGATCAACACCCTCAAATAACTCGTATGGAGCATATACACAGCTTCCATTTTCTAGCCTAAATGAATGCAAGTACAACTCGGATCATTGTGGATCACTGAAACAATTCCATGAACATAAAAACTAATAACCACGTCTATGTCAACCTGATGTCGTGTGAATATCTCTTCACACAAAAAACTCAACGTAAAAAAAGTTTTTTTTACTACTATCTTGAGAATGGTCCCTTATGGTAAGCTTAGTGACACGAAATCATGTTTTGGAGTTATTCACGTCAAAATTCGCTCCTGGTCTTTGACACGATTGCGAAAGCCACAACTTTCAACCCGGCGGTTCGCACTTTCCATGGCCCCCAATGCCTGTCTCGGACAATTGTGGGCTAGGGTTCGCGCAAACGAAGCCAATAGCAAGCTCGCGTTCGCGTAAAGAATCGAAAGAATTCGGTAAACGAGACCGGAACTAACGTAGGCACGTAGCAACACACATTTCACGCTCTCCGAAACGCTCGACCGGTGCCACGAAGTCAAGACAGCGAGCTCGTAGTTTCAATGAATTCCCCTACGTTAGGCTAAGGTCTCTCGGCGGATTCAGCTGTCGCGTTCCCTCGCCTGCGCATAGTTCTATTCGTTACTGGTCACAGCAACACCCAAAAAATGGGAAAACCAACGGAAAATATTGGGTTTTTTTGTTCGCGAACGTCGCTCCACCCCCCTAACCCCATCCCCAGACGAAACCGCGAGAAGAAAAAAAAGTGAAGAGAGACGGAACCGTTCAGGGGGGCCGCTAATTGAGCTTCAGCTGGCGTCTGACTCACGTAGGCACCGGTGAAAGAAACTGTACTAAAACCTAACTGTTCGATAGGGCCGAGAGCTGAGGGCTAGAACGTCGGGTCTTGTTGGCGTGTAGGCTGCAAATGCAGGGAGGGCGCATAAAAAAAAAAAAAAGCAACACGTTTTCGCCTTAGGCTTAACGAAGGGGTCGAAAAAGGTCTCACGGCGTCTTTGGGGTCTTTGCTGCGTGGGCGGACGCCGAGAGGTCGTCACCGCAGGTCGAGGAAGCCGCGAACGTACCGATGTTAGGGCCCGAACGAGCCAAAGGTATCGAACAGAAGGCAGGCCAACGCTACTTACACGCTCAAGATGGCACGGCTGGTTGTTGAACAGAGCAGCGCAAGAAACTGAGAGCAACAAAAAAGAGATGGCGCTGCTGTGGGACGACGGGAAATGCGTGCGAGATTTCGGCCGCGCCGATGTGGACGCAACTGTGCCGAACCTCACGGGAAAGCCGGAAGTCCGGAAGAATTTTGTGAAACACGGGAGAAGAATTATTTGTTATATCCGATGAAATAACATAATTTCTTGTATTTACTCTGGTGAGCTGGGGCTAGTGTGGTTGCGATATCGTGCAGTTAGGCCCCGGATAACAGCGGAACTTTCAGCCGAACCTTTCCTACCTAAGTTCGTTTTCATTAAAACCCTGGGGTGCGTGCGCATAAATCAGTCATCAAATTTAATTTGGTAAACCGAAATAAAAAAAAAGAAGCAATTTGCAGCTCACAAGTAGCATTAACCTCCAAGTTTCGGTTTCGGTTTCGTAGGTGGTGCGTGCCAGTGTACCACCGTTAAGGCCGGTTCAGACACTTGCGTTTGAGTGCGTTTGACTGCGTTGCGTCGACAACCGAAAGCGAGTCACCGACACATATGTGCTTCGTACGAAGCGTGGAATCCAATTCAAGGGATCATCTTGGCACGCGATATAACCAGCAGGGATGTCCCGGTTTCTCGCAGCAGCAAGGCAGTCAAACGCAGTCAAACGCAACTGTCTGAACCAGGCTTTACAGTGTACTAGATTAGAAGGTATTCACTGGACGTCATATTTGAGGGAGATGTTTAGAGCGCATGCTCAGAACGCGCTCACATTAATAGCCTGCTAAGACCGGCAACCTTGATAGTGTTAAATGCACGCTCAAAAAGGACTGCGGAAGCTCACCGTCAGCACGCGCTCAGCAGCTGCGCTCACGGATATGGCCGCCAGTGAATACTCCCTTGGGCAGTGTTGGGACCGGAGCGGCTCGCCAACGGGAGCTCGTGAGGGTGCGTGTATTGACAGTTCGTGGCGGCGATGTAGTCGAGTTATCCGGAAAAAAACGCGCAGCCCGCCTTCTTTTTTCACTTTGAGCGGTGCACGTGTCGGTACCACGATTTTATACGCTCCGTTTCACCTTATGTCGTACCGCAGCGAAGGCTAGAAGCGCGAGCTCATAGCGTTGGCAGCTGCCCTTGGTGCACGAGAGCTTGTGCCGCCGAGATGTGCCCTAGAGCAAGGAGCTCGCGCTTGTAGCCTTTCCTCCGGTAGGACACAAGGTGAAACAAAGTATTGGCGACGTGCGCGACCGAAAGCGTCGCTGTGGTCGGCCTTCCACGATTGGCCGAACACTGACTATGACGTAAGAAAAGGATTTATCATCGACGGAAATAAGAGGAATGAAAGAACTTTAATTTTGACGGCGTTGGCAGTGTTCCTTTGAGATTGCAATGATTTCAAGCTTCCACCATGCTATTTACAAACACCATCGAACTTGTTGTTTGCAAGGTAATGACGTCACAAGGGGGAACCGTAGGAGGGCGCCACTAAAAGATCTCGTGTGTTCGATCGTAATTTGCTTTGAATATTGTGTTCTGATTTTGCGGATGGTGAACGCGTAAGGGTAGAGCCGAAATGCCGTCGGCGAGCTTGGGTGAGTATCCAGCACACGGCTGTGACTTTTCCTGACACTTTGGCTGGGCATGCACACTCGAAACTCACGAAGGTCGCACGAGTAGTGCGTAACTACTCGTGCCGTTTCGAGCCTTTCAGTGACTATGAAGCAAAGTTTTACCAAGGGAATGAACTCAATGTCGATACATGCGTTAAAGCAAAGCATACGAAGAATAGTCTTTGTTCTTGACTTGCTCCTGTTTGCTGATTATGCATTAAGATGCCTTTAATTCTTGTCATTGTTTTATTGGGAAACTTTTGTAGAAAGTTTTTGTACACTGAACGAAATACGTTGCAAGCAAGGGTGCCAGCGGAATATCAGATTTTATTATCTGAGTTTTAAAACAACCGACTTAAAGGGATACTCCACTGGTTTTTTCATTGTCTCCGATTTGCTTGAAATTTTGCTAAACTAGCCAACAAATATCGTGAAAATAGTATCCCAAATATTAGGTCAAAATATTGTTTTTTTGCAAAGTTATTGAATTTACAGTTTTGGTCCTCACCGTGTTTTTCAAGCTCGAAGTCTCTACTGGCAACAATGAAAAAGTGACGTCAGTGGAAGGCAGGGGTTCACTGTTTGGGCTGTAGATTTTGTTTTAAACTGATTCGAAGCAGTTTCATGGTGTCAAATGAATGCTTGGGAAGCTCGCTGCAGTACCCGCGCTCCAGCACGGAGCAAATGATTGGCATATTCTATTTTTTTGCTGCTTGCTCGACTGGCAAGTCTGCCTGCCACTGACGTCACGGCACTGAAAAGTGCGCGAATATTTGAATGTTGATTTTTGGATCATTTTCATTTGCCGATTTCACAGTACCTATTATGAATTTCGCGATTCTAAATAGCATACCGGAGAGAGTAAAGGCCGGGGAGTCAGAAAATATAGTTAGTTAAGGTAGCTCAAAAAATCGGTGGAGTACCCCTTTAAAAGCTTCTTACTCCCATGATCGAAAAGAGGAAATGGCTACGTCCCAGGCATGTCCAATGTTATGCAGGATATTTTTTTATTCAACAGAACTTTACAGAATTAATTAAAAAGAGGTAGTAGATACGTGTACGTCGTCTGCACTGTACATCCGTAGATCTCGGCGGACCCTGCATGGGTGAATAACCGTTGCAATATCTTGATTACTTAGCCGAATATGGTAATTAACTTTTTAATGAACGGTTTAATGGGCCATGTTGCAATTGCAGCTTTAAAGGGAGTCATTATTAAAGGCCAACCTAATTTAGAGAGTTTGCGAACAAACAACGAGCTTTGAGATATTCATCTCTAAAAGTTTGCCTTTCTTCGCTTAATTAAAAAAACCGCGCTCTGAAAGCGCGAGTGGGGTTGAGCTGATATTGATGCGTAGAAGAATGACACAGTTGTTTCTGTCCCCTCGTCACTAACTCGACAGCGTGTATTCGGTGGACTCGCCGGCGCCACACATCAAGACGACTAAGTCACTATCATAACGCGGCTTCTGAATCAAGCGAAGAAAAACAAACTTTTACGATAAATTTCGTAAACCTCGTTGCCTTTTTTTCGAATTGTCGAAATTGTGTTTGCCTTTAATAATGACTCCTTTTAAAACTGCAATTGCACCATGGCCAATTAAGCCGTTAATAAACAAGTTAACTAACAGATTTTGGTTAATTATTAAACATTGCAACGGTTATTCACCCATTTATTGTCCACCGAGCCCTATAGATAAAACGAAGGACGGTATTCACATATCTGCCACATTCCTTTTTTGTAAAATATGTAAAGTTCTGTAAAGAATAAAACAAAACACCCTGTATGTCTGCGTGAACCAGATACGCCCCCAGTGGAACCATGGGTCTTTCCCTTAGAAGTTAGAATACCCAGCTCAGGCGAGATTTACCTGGTTGTCAGAAAGCAGCTGTCGGTTAAATGTATTGTTATGAGGGTGTGAGTTCCAGATGGTTTACCCTCAAGATGATAATGCGCTGTATTGTAACCATGTATGCGCTGCACATTTTAACCATTATTTCAATGCCGTGCTGTAAACTATTACAACGTTTTCCTTGCCTTATCTACGTGTGCTCATGTTTTCTGCTCAAAATGATGCGAAATAGTTGCTTGTTTTCTTTGAATCTTATACAGAATTACTTGTACAGCTCACGTTGTCCCAGTTTTTGGACTTAAGTTCAATGTTAAAACGCGTGATAAAAATTGTCACGGCTTATAGGCCATTTCTTACAAGTGAACGTCGGGTGGTCCTCGGATGGTCGTGGCAGCCATGAAGAAATAAAAGATTCTCACCCCTTTGCGACCGTCGCTTGGGTGGTTAGTCGCATAAATGAACACAAGAATGAGTGACAAGTGAAGCGAGCTGATTAAGGTCAAGAAAAAAGACGGGCAGAAAAGAAGACAGAGACCTGGGGTATTAAAAACATACTAAAACAATTTCGGACTTTAGTATGTGCCATTTCGTTCCATTATAAAATAAAGACAGGAAAAAAAAAAAAAAAAAAAAAAAACTGCCTTTGAGTTTTAGATATTCCTTTCAAATTAGGGATGCCGCGAACTTTTTTCGAATCGAAGTTTCGATGATCGAATCAAGCGGTTCGAAAGGTTCGAAAGATTTCGATTTTTCGAATTGTCTATATTGTAAAATTCGACGGAGGTCGAATTTTCGAACTTGTTAAGCTAAGAAGTTCGACGCTTTTCGAACCGTCGAACTTATTACGCTAAAAAATTCGATCTTTTTCGAACTTTCGAATTTATTGCGCTGCAAGGTTCGATGCTTGTCGAACTTTCGAACCTGACTGACCAAAAAATTCGATGAATTTCGAACTTTCGAACTTATTTATCAAGAGAATTCGAAAAGTTTCGAACTTTCGAATTCTGAAAAGTCAGAAGTTCGACGAACTTCGCACTTTTAGGGTAAAAGTTCGATGTTCGTCGAACTTCGAAAGACCGGCTGACGGTTTCATTTGATTTCAAGTAGTGGGGTACATTCGTAATTTTTTTTTCTCGAACTTTTACACGCGGTGCTGCGTTCCTTACGAAAGACATTGTCGTTTATTTCAATGTTCTGGCATGCTTAGGTTTAAAGAAATAAATCCCCGAAGGGGCGAGGAAGGACGACGGGTTTTTGACGATTATCGTTTGTGCCAGATTTGAAGCACGCTGCAGCCGGAGCTATTCATGGTAGATAAGTTATACTTTTTTAAGAATGATCTATGTATAGCCTAGGTAAGTGCCGTCTTAAGATGTGATTATTGTTATTCAACGTGAGTTTCGAAGAAATGTCCAAACATGTATCTGCAGGCAATTATGACCTAAACTTGATATTTATTTTCGTCTAAGTTGTTTGAGGTATCGCATTTAAATTAACACCACAGACAGTACATATC